AAGGCCAGCCTGATCTACATAGTGAGTTCCAGGATAGCTGAGGACATGCATACACATATTTTTTTAAAAAACCGAAAAAAAAAAAAAAAAAAGGGCAAAGAACCCTCATTCCAGCTCCTGCTACAACCAGGGTGGTGATCATGACGCCAGAGAAGAGCACTGGTGGGGAGGGCATCACATGACCACCTCACTGCCTGCCCAAAGTGTTCCTCTCAACAGGAAAGCAGGGAGGTAACAACCTTTGTCTAAGTCTTTCTTCTAGTAATTTCCCATTTCTACACAGAGGCCTTTTTACTGAGAGGAATTGAATACTTTTAAAACATTTAAGCTGCATGACCCAAAATTCAAGGAGGCCGATGCCCAGTCAGTCACATAAAGTCCAGTTTGATCCAGTGGTCTATGTGAATAATTTCCTCAACTTTTATGTGTGAGGTAGAGTTTATGCGCACCCTGTGTATGCAGGTATCTGAGGCCGGAGGGCTTTGGATCCCCTGGAACCAGAGTTACAGGCATTGTGAACACCTGATGTGGGTGCTGGGGACTGAACCTGGGTCCCCTGCAAAGCAGTACGTGCTCTTAGCCGGAGCCAACTCTCCGGCCCTTTGATCCAGTGGTTTAAATGGCAAATGTTGCCTTTATGTGCTAGAGTCCAGAGAGAGAGAAACCCACGGGTCACACTGACACCCTGTGCCCTGTACTGCTGTCTCAGAGGGAAAGAACCTATCACAAACTGCTAGAGGCAGAGGTTCAGAAGGGAAAAGAGGCAGAGCAGCGCTGACCTGACACTGGCAGCTTGGATGCTGACCTACAAGTGTCCACCACATGCAGTTCTACATCCCACACACTCAAACACTTGTTCATAGTGAAACCAAGTAGTTTTATTTAAGAATTAGAAAGAATAATCAGTATATGTGAAAGAAAATTCAATTTAATATATTTAAATAAAATTTCTGTATGTAAAAAGAGTAATCACTCTGTAACTCCCTCTCCTGGTGATGGGTCAGAGGGCTGCCTCCACTGAGGGTAGGGGCTGGCCAAGCCCAGGAGCAGGGCCTCGCACACCGCATCAGAAAGGCTTTAACCTTGCTGCCCCTGCAAAAGCAAGCTACCTAAGGCAGTGAAAGCGCCGGAGGCAGGGCACTCACGGGACTGTTCTGAGGATGCAGCCCAAGCACTGTGGCTGGGATCTTAGACACTAAGAATGGTTTCCTTGATACCCCAGGCCGTCTCCTGCAGGTTAGCATCTAAGTGGGGGAATTAAAGTGTACAAGCAGCAGCTCCCACGGACCGGGCCGCCGGGGCACTGCCGTTTGCTTTCTGCCCGCTAGGAGGCTCTCCTGTTACTTCCGCACACTTGGTTACAGCAGCTGCAGGGCCTCCGGAAGTGCTTCATTTCCCAGTATTTTCAAGTAGCTTTTTTTCCTGTATGGTACCCACTTGCAACTAGCCAGGCGTGGTGGCGCACGCCTTTAATCCCAGCTCTCCGGAGGCTAAGAATGGTTTCCTTGATACCCCAGGCCGTCTCCTGCAGGTTAGCATCTAAGTGGGGGAATTAAAGTGTACAAGCAGCAGCTCCCACGGACCGGGCCGCCGGGGCACTGCCGTTTGCTTTCTGCCCGCTAGGAGGCTCTCCTGTTACTTCCGCACACTTGGTTACAGCAGCTGCAGGGCCTCCGGAAGTGCTTCAGTTCCCAGTATTTTCAAGTAGCTTTTTTTCCTGTATGGTACCCACTTTAAAACTTGCAACTAGCCAGGCGTGGTGGCGCACGCCTTTAATCCCAGCTCTCCGGAGGCAGAGGCAGGCGGGTCTCTGTGGGTTCGAGGCCAGCCTGATAGTGAGTTCCAGGGCAGCTGGGGCTACAGGGAGACCCTGTCTCAAAACAAATCAAAAAAAAAAAAAAAAACTTGCAACTGTAAGACTTAGTCTCCTGACAGTTCCTTAATTTGAATAAACCCGAAAACAGGTGGCCTTTACAGTCAGTATCTGAAAGCCTTTACATCATTAGCTGATCTCACTGCTACAATTAGTTAAGGATAATCATAAAGATAATCTCCAGATCACCCAGTGGGGGAGGCCAGTCACGTGTCAAATCCTGCCCTCAGGGAGTTTGCTTTGCTCCTGGACTTGGGCCCCAAACTGGGAGCAGGGGGAGGGCGGGTCATCTCCCAGCACCTTGTAATCATTGAAAGCAGAGGACAAACGTCAAGTCCCCCGGGGGAGCATCACTCCTGGCCGGCTGTGAGGCTGAGCTTTCTGGCCTCTGGCAGATGGAGACGTCAGATCCAACACTGCCTTACCACCCACAATTACCACCCACAACGCCAAGGGCTACTCTCCATCCACCAAAAAGACAAGTCCAAGGCCCTCAAGGGCAGTGGAGGCTGGAGCCGGCCCTGCTTAGAGCGCTGAGAAGGGGCTTTCCCCTCAAAGAGCTGGAACTGCCAAAAATCCACCCCGGCCTCGACTGCAGTCCCGTAGGCGACGCTCTAAGGGGTGTGGTCTAGAGACTGCCACTGACTCCTAAAAACCGAGTGGGAAGCAGGGCGTGATGCCGCATGCCTGTGGTTCCAGAACTCGGGAGGCAGAGGCAGGCGGATCCCTGTGAGTTCGAGGCCAGCCTGGTCTACATAGGAAGTTCCATGCCAGCTGGGGCTATAGGGAGACCCTGTCTCAAAAAGACCAAATAATAACAATAATAATAATAATTTAAAAGTCAGGTATGTATTAAAAATATCTGAGCCACGCGTGGTGGCACACACCTGTAGTCCCAACACTTGGGAGGCAGAGGCAGGCAGATCTCTGTGAGTTCAAGGCCAGCCTGGTCTACCTACACAGTGAGTTCCAGGACAGCTGGGGCTACAGGGAGACAGACCCTGCTTCAAAACGGCCAAAAAAAAAAAAAAAAAAAAACCTGAGTGGGATGCCCTACCACAGCTCACTCCTGAGCAGTACTGACAATAGCTGTGGTCTCTAGAGGGCCTTGTATATCCTCACCAGGTCCTGAGGGCCGGCAGCTCCCAAACCAACCAGTCTCACACTGGTAACTGGCAAACCCGTAAGCCTCTTTGGTATATAGAACAAGCCACTAGATCTAGAAAGAATATTTCTGAGTTGGCAAAATTCATTTTGAATATCCATTAGGACCTGCAGTTAACCAAAGAGAAGTCAATCTCTGTGTGGTTCATACATTGTGTCATCCTGCTGCTTAAGTATCAGCAACACTGACATGGATCTACATCCTCACAACACCCTTGTGAGGTAGGTTCTACTGATGGGGTCTTAAGCACAGAAGGGTCTGGTGGCTCACAGCCATGTGACGCAGTGGTGGACACACACTAACATCCGCCTTCATAGTCACTGTTAGCACCACTGCACAGTCTGGACATGGTCTTGGGGCTGTGGTGTGTTGGGGAGGGGCGATTAAGTCCTTTCCTGGAGGCTCCCTCAGGCCCCTGCACTCCCTGTGGCCTCTTTGGTTCTGCATGTCAGACCCATGCAAGAAGCATTGCTTCCTGCATTCATCAGGCCTGCAGGTGAACATGGAGAGGGCTTGAACATGGAAGGCTTCACACTGAGAAGCTGGGCCCCTTCTCAGCATTCCTGCTTGCTTCCCTGCAGAGCTCTCCCCTGGCTTAATAAACAGACCAGGCTTCTTGGTGGAGAAGCCAGCTCTGGGTTCACCTGCCTGCCAACAGAACACCTGTCCACTGATTATAACACCACACTAGTTTTCCATTGACACAGCCATGACTGAATCCCACAGCACAAAGCCACCCAGACTGCCCCTGGCCTGAGACCACCGACGTTACAGAAAGTTCACTATGGAAAGCTCAACCTCTACTAACCTTACCCACCTCACTAGCCAGAGTGTGCCCTCCATCACCACTTCCCTCAGACTCAAAGGGCCCTTGAATGGACCCTGACAGATCCGCAGACTCACTTGGTGCCCTATGCCCACATCACTTCCTTCTGGCCACATATTCCTCAGTCATCTCTGCTGAGGTCTACCATGAGCAGTTCAAAGTAGCAGAGCTCCCCAGTGCCGCTGAGGCTGCCAGCCAGATGGGGAAGTATGACCGTCATCAAGGTAAATGCAAGACTTCCTGCCTGCTGCACCATGGGGTGTGGTTCCTACGATGGGTACAGCCACTACCATGAAGTCCACACACAGCATCCACCCTGTGGACTGGTGTCCCCCGGCTTCAAGGTTGGCATTAATCCCCAACTTCCCACTGCAGTCCCCAGTGGAGAACTGGCCCAGGCACAGCATGCTGACTGCACGAGGAGCAACACTACTGCCTTGCAGTCCTGGTGTCATCTGGACACAGGTCTGATCTCCTAGCATGCTTTCCTGCACTGGTATGCACAAGGCGACCGAAGTGGAGTTCTCTGGGGCCTGTGAGGACAGGGCTGCACTGGGGGACTGTGAGAAGGCTGGCTGTTGACGACGAGGCTGAAGAGAGGAATACTAATTCCCCATTCTGCAATGTTGAGTTAAGGATGCCTCTGCTCATAGCTGCACGGCTGGGGGAGATGCAGAAAGGACACCAAGAACGGCTTTGCTCACTGCTGTGTGGAACAAAGGCCGAGGGCCCCCAAGTCTAGGAGGACATGGATGCACTGAGGGTTATGAAGGCTGCTCTGGATCCTGCTGGAGATGGAAGGGAAGGAGAACAGGTTTATCCATTCTATTCGATCCTGCAGCATGTCACATTCTCAGAACTCAGGTGTAGTAGCTGACATATTGACACTCAGATTGGTTTTTCTTTACCCAATTGTGATACCTATCTGCTGAATACTTAAATAAGACTCTTCTATGTCTAAAAGTAAAAGCTTTAAGGAAAAACAACAACAAAAAAACACAAATGCGCAGTCCAGAAGATCTCACACCATGACCAAGCTCTTGTCCAGGCCAGGATTAAACAAGGGTTTCAACTCTTAAAGCTTTTATGTCTGACAGAGAAAAAGCCAAATGTTCTCCCCAAACGTAAAGAACAAAAATGCTAACAGAACTTCGGCTGGGATAACCTACTGATTTGCCTGAACTTGCAATAGTATATGATGTGCCAGAACCCTTTTTGAAAATACTGGTTAAGCCAGGCGTGGTGGCGCATGCTTTAATGCCAGCACTCGGGAGGCAGAGGCAGACGGATCTCTGTGAGTTCCAGGCCACCTGGGGCTACAGGGAGACCCTGTCTCAAAAAAGACAAAAAAAAAGAGAAAACGCTGGTTTAAACAGCACTGGGCAGCAGTCTGAGAGCGCAGAAAACACTCGATAGTTACACTGAGAGACAAAAATAGAAGCCGCAGGAGAATGAGTAAAAAGCCAAGTAAACGGAGGCAGCACCTCCCCTCATCAGAGAAGAGCACTTGGCAAGCACTCCCTGAGTAATGAAAAAACAGAGACCAGGGCCCGTGAGACCCCAGGAGCCGCGGTCACATAAACCCACACAACCACCACTTCAGGGGTCCGTGCTTACTTGTAGCCGAATAAAAGCTGAACTGGGAAACACCAAGGGGTCTCTTTGAATTTATACCATTTGTAAGAAATAGATGCGCAAATAGGATTAAATGCAGGGAGAGCCGAAGTGCAACAGAGGCATCTTTAGAATGTCTACACAGATGTTCATGCGCTGAAGGACAATAAAGAGGTTAAACTGTGCTGTGTGTTTTCAGTTAAATTAAAGGTTTTTGATGCAATTTCAGTGCTGATACTTGGCATCGCTGCCCACCCGCCCTTTCGGTGGCAGAAGCTCCGGGGAGGGCAGTGTCTACCGCTCCGAGCAGTCCTGGTCACAGTGCACTCAGAGGTACTGGACTGTGGCCTGGGGTCTTGCAGGGCCACTCTGGAAGGGACACTGATGAATATTGCTGTGATTTGTTTCTTGTTCACTGTTAATCTGTGTCCTACCTTGATTCAGCATAAGAAAAGATTGTTCCAGTGGGTCCTTTGGTCCTAAGGCCTTCTGACATTTGGTCTTGGGTGACACTTCCGAAGACAATTAGTGACATATATAAAATGACTAAGAAAATCATTCTGCAGTGGCCGACTGGAATAAGTTCTGTCCCAAGCTGCGCAGGGTCAGAGGCCCCATGGTCCCATGGTCCCTGCCCATCATAGCTCCACCTTGACCCCCTTTATAAAAGGCAGGCCCGTGGGCACCCTCTTTTTATACTCCAAATATTCCTCTCCAAAGAAGTGAATCAACGAGATCTCTTCCTCTTCTGTTCGGTCACGGAAGAAGCGCCACACCGTGAGAGCATAGACAACACCACAGATGGGGTTACACAGCATCACCTGGCAGAGGAAGAGCAAGATGAGCAGGTCAGAGAGGCCCTATGCCCAATCACCTTCTCCCCACAAGACTTCTTGCTAGGGGTCCAGGAGCCTCTTGAATGCTGTGAGACTGAGAACCGCTACCACCCGCTAGAGCTGACCCAGCAGCTTTCTGTCAATGCTTGATTCCTTAGGTGAGAGACCTCAAAGTGGACTGAAAGATCCTTCTGAGATTCCACCATGAGGGTGACACGTGCCCCCTTCTGCACTCAGGAGTGAATTCCTTTTTTTTTTTTTCGGTCTTTTTGAAGCATGGTCTCCCTGTAGCCCCAGCTGTCCTGGAACTCACTACATAAACCAGGCTGGAACTCAAAGAGATGCGCCTGCCTCTGCCTCCCGATGCTGAGATTAAAGGTGTGTACCACCATTCCAGCTAGAAGTAAATTCTTATGTGGGAGTTCATCCTGTGCTCCCCCACCCTTGCCTTGGACCCTGACCTCCTTCTCCCAAGGTCTCATGAGCTACACGCAACCAGGTGAGCTTCCAAAAACATTTCTTCCAACATTTCACTCTGCTCAGAAAACTCAGAAAAGCTAAGCCTTTCCTGGCTAGCTTCTAAAAGCTTTCCTCCTCTCCCAGGCTCTCTTCACTGTTTGTTTCTTAGTTCTCTGCTTTTCAAGTCTTCCCCACTGTCCCCCAGTCAAACAGTTCCTCAAAATTGAAAGCAACCCCAGCTCCTCAGGAATTTCCACCAGAGGCAGACACCAGGACCCAACCCCGTGCATGTGTCTTTCCAAGGTAAGACACCCCACCTAGTGAGCCAGGCACACAGTCCCGGCTTCTTAGCACGCCTTTCCACTGCGTGCTGTGTTCCCAGCACCACACTATGCCATTCAACCTTCAACAAATCTTTAGCTCTGCAGTGTTATCCCCACTATCGCCCTCCCTGTTGTGGGTGAGGAACAGTTCGGAGGCCACGTACTGACCAGGACTGGCCCAGAAGGCAGCACCAGAACCTGTGCCATCATCTGCCAGATGTGTGCAACTTTCTGGGCATCCCTGATGGCAGGTTTCCTAATCATAGGTGGCAACCTGCTACTGAGCTAGGAAATCAATTTTTAGCAAATCATGAGCACCATTCAAAATAGTAAGACAAAAAATAGTGTTCTATAGAAAACAAGACTAAGTATTGCTGCAGGAAAGACAGTCTACACACACAGGCATGCCAGTATACAATGCAAAAAATATCTAGTCTCAAAGGTATGAAAAACTCTTCAGCCTTAAAGCACTTAGGTATTCAGCAAGCACATTATTCAACTATAATCAGTTTGTCCCCAGAAATATGACTGCAATTTGGCTATGTGTTATATGTATGAGAAATACATTTTTAAAAATATTTTATTTATTATTTTTATTTTATGTGTATGAGTGTATTGACTGCATGTATGTAGTACACCTATATTGTGCAATGCCCACAGAGGTCAAAAGAGGACGTCAAATTCCCCTGGAAATGGAGTTGCAGATAGTTGTTAGCTACCACATATGTCAGTGCTGGGAATCCAAACCTGGATCTTCTGCAAGAATACCCAGTGCTCTTAACTGTTGAGCTACCTCTCCAGTCCAGAAACAAAAAGTTTTAAAAGAAATGCTTCAGAGTCATCTCCCCTACTAGACCATTATAGTGTCACAAGAGTCCCCATGGAACATGCATCACCAATGGAATGTTTGGGGGCCCCCAGGTGAGTTTTCCAAGCTCTATTTACATTCCCTGGCCAAACTCTTCAAAGACTAAGTATAGAATCAAGAGACAGCTGTCAAGAAATAAGAGTCCGGTGTGCACCAAGACAGAGTAAACCTCTGTAGCTCTCATTAACCTAAGAGGACCTTGGCCTCATTGAGCCACCACAGAGGAGCTGAGAAGACTCCCTCCTTAAAGCCTGCCTTCTCTTGCCCCGAGGTGCTCCAGATCCAAGGCAGAGGCAGAAAAGGGCACAGTGAAGGGCAGAGCAACACCGACTCTCACCAAGGCTTTACAGTGCCCACATTTTACCCCTAAAAACTTGAAGAACTCAGGCTGACGAAATGGCTCAGTGGTTAACAGCACATACTGCTCCTCCAGAGGACCCAAGTTCAGTTCCCAGCACCCACACCAGGTGGGTCACAACTGTCTGCCAACACCCTCCTCTCTCCTCCATGGGCCCTGGCACTCAAATGGCACACAGTCACAGGCACATGCATAAACAAAAATAAATCTAAAAAAATGCTGAGCATGGTTTAATCCCAGCATTTGGGAGGCAGAGGCAGACAGATCTCTGTGAGTTCCAAGTCAGCCAGTACTAATGAGTAAGACGCGGCCTTAAAACAAAAAAAAACCCTCAAAAACCAACTTTAAGAATTTCATTAGTTCTGGCTTTTATTAGCATTTGAAACACGCCAGGGAACACGTTAAGAGTGTGTTCTAGCCGGGTATGGTGGTGCACGCCTTTAATCCCAGCACTTGGGAGGCAGAGGCAGGCAGATCTTTGAGAGTTTCAAAAGACTGAAAAAAAAAAAAAAAGTGTGTTTCTTGTGAACACACTAAGAAAGACATATACTTTGAAATAGTAAATTTTATGGTATGCAATTATATTCAACTTAAGAAGTTAGGAGACTAAGGCAGGACTCAAAGCTAAGTCCGGCTTGAGTTACACAGCAAGTCCCTGAGTCAAGACACCAGAAAGATTCTTATATAATGCCGGAAGTGGTGGTCCACACCTTTAGTCCTAGCACTCAGGAGGCAAAGCCAGCAGAGTTCTGTGCGATTGAGGCTAGCCTGGTCTACATACACAGCTCCAGGCCAACTGGTTCTACAGGGAGACCCTGTCTTAAAAACAAAAACAAGGGGCTAGAGAGATGGCTCAGCAGTTAAGAACACTGACTATTCTTACAGAAGACCCATGTTCGAATCCCAGCATCCACATGGCAACTAACAACTGACCATAACTCCAGTTCCAGGGGATCCAACAGCCTCTTCTATCCTCCGTGGGCACTGCACAACACAGGTGCACTCACCTACATGCAAGCATAACACTCATACACATAAAATAAAAATAATAAAATATTAAAAAAAAACAAACACGCTGGGAATGGTGGCACACACCTTTAGTCCCAGCACTCGGGAGGCAGAGGCAGGCAGATCTCTAAGAGTTCAAGGCCAGCCTGGTCTACACAGTGAGTTCCAAGCCAGTTGGGGGCTACAGGGAGACCCTGTCTCAAGAAGACCAAAAAAACCCCCAAAACCACAAAAACACCGAAAAAGAAATGCAGCAAAGTAAATGGACAGGAGGCCAGTGTCCTGACACGGTACCTGGGTTCCAATACTCCAGTAAAACCACCCCACATAGGAAGGGTGCCGGAACCAAGCATACACCCCACTTGTCACCAGAGTATGGGTGTCTGACTTCTCATTCTGCACCACGTGGTTGAAGTTGGAACCAGCCGTGAACATGGCAGCTTTCCTCAGGCATTCTCCAAAGACCACCATCACTAGCCCCGTGGCACTCAGCCAGGTTATCTGCTTCAGCTCTGCAGAAAGACATCAGGGACAGAGTGGGAACACTGGGCTGCTGATCTCCTTCACTGTGTAAAAGGAACCCATTTCCCCAAAGACAGAAACATTAGAAAACATCCTGTGGGCAATTAGCATCTCTCATCGCATTAAAATTGAATAACAAGGCTGGGCAGGCGTGGTGGCCTGCAGTCCCACCACAGAGGCAGAGGCAGGCGGATTTCTGTGAGTTTGAGGCCAGCCTGATCTACATAGTGAATTCCAGGACAGCTGGGGCTACAGGGAGACCCTGTCTCAAAAAGACCA